GATAGGGACAGCTGACAGCACTGCACAGACACGTGGTGAAAGAAAAGTGGGGCAATATGTTCCAATATGTGACCAACGCTGTCCATTCGTGGTGGTATTTATTGCAGTGACTTTAATAAAGCCAAACCAATCTAGTGGTGATGTGGAGGGCCTATGGCATGTCCAAAGGGGATTCCATTACAAATTGACTTCCAGGTTTTGTAAAATGTTCAGGGTGTCCCGTGGGGTGACAAGCTGCCCGTGGATTGCAAGGCCAAGGTCAGGCTGCTACTGCTCTGAGACACACTGAGTGTAGGACAAAGCTGCTTCTTCTCTACTAAACTAGGAAATTGTTGATGCCTATTCATGGGCAGTGCTACAAAGGCATAGCAGAAGCACGTGTCCATTGATATGGCGAGATGAGGAGCCTATGCTGTCCCGCCTTCTGCCAAGATTACTGCATGGGAAGAAACACATAGGGCTCAATTCTGCCTTTAGGTGCATTATTGACTTCAGTGGGGTTTCGGGGAAGGAACTGAAGGCAGAACCTGAACTGATGTGTTTTATCTGATAATTCTCATCTCTTGGCCTTTCGAGGCAGATGAAATGGATGGAACAGCCCCCAGGGAAGTAAATTTCAGCTTCCAGTTGCTTGGTGGGAAAGACATTTACCATTTTCTTTAACTATCCATAAGTTTTTAAATTGACCGTTGGGCCAAACTATTATCCAAGCTGAGGTCTCTATTCAGTGTGGGCCTGATCCAAAGCGCAGTGAAGTCCAAAACAGTCTTTCCTCTGGCTTTGGACCATACCCTGACACCTTAGACCAGGGGTGGGGAACCTAAAACCTGGAGGCCAGATGCGGCCCCCAGCTTGCCTGGATCTGGCCCCCCAAGGCTCATGGCTTCCCCCTTCCCAGCACTGGGGAGTCTGTGCTGGTGCTCCAGACCCCTGCCATGCCTGCATGGGGCTGGAGCACACGAAATCTACTAACCCGGGCCTCCCAAGGCTCTGGTGCGTGAGACAAATGTGGAGAATGTCTTTGTCCTTTCAGTCAGGAGCTGCATCAGTGAGGGGTGTCTTGGGTTTTGTTTTGTTTTGGCTTTTCACTCATGTGCAGCCCCCAACTGATTTTTCTGTGGGTTAGCAGCCCTTGACTCAAAAAAGTTTCCCCACCCCTACCTTAGACAAATCCCTGCCCATTGCTGACCAAAGTCTCTCAAATCCATACTTCCATTCCAGGTTACCTGGAAATCTCTGCAAGATGAAATGTGGTTTGGGACTCAGTTATATATCGTTTGTCTTTTTTTGATGTGCACTGGAAGCGACTCAGCTGTAAGTAACCTCTGCCTGTCATCCTGGTTGGTCTGCACAAACACAGTGGGCCCAATGCCTTGCATGCAATGACAAAGGGCAGAGGAGTGACACTAATGACAAAGGGTGATGTTTTACCACTCTAACCCCGAGAAGCCTTTCACTTCCCCTCCCCACCCATTCCAGGGAGGCAGAGTGAGGGATGAATCGGTGTGAGCAAGGTTGGCACAATTCAGCCCTGGCAAGGCCAGATGAGATGCCTGTCAGAGTTCTGTCTCCTGCCTAGGTGCATCTAGTGAGAGGGGAAGCAGATCTGAGGCCATAGACCTGTGGCTCTCCTGCATGCCAAACTCCCAGGGAAGTCAGGCAGGAAGATTATTGAAGCCCTTGGAGGTGAAGTAGGAAATCAGGATGAGCCAGAAGCCCAATGAGCTGGGGAAATGGTGATCTGCAGCATCCTGCAGTAGGCTTGGGGTGGGGGTGGAGGGTGGGAGGTCAGCCACTCACATCTGAGGAAGTGGGCTGTGCCCAGGAAAGCTCACAATACTATATATATATGTTTGTTAGTCTCAAAGGTGGCACAGGACTATACGTTTTTAAAGTTACAGGCTAACACAGCTACCCCTCTAAGACTCACTCACACTAAGTTAGCTCAGCCAGGCTGCTGCATGCAAAACTGCTAGGGGCTGGAGGGTGGAGGAAGCCCCGGCCCACAAGTGATGGGATGAAGTGCTGGCATAACTGCGATTGCCTCAGTGACAAAGAGTAGACCACAAGCTGCTTGATGCTCATGGAGCCTGAGGGGAACCCAGGCACCTTTTGCTTAATCACAACCCTGTCAGGGAAACAGCACTTGTGCCCCCTCTTCATGCCGAGAGGACATGCAGCCACTTGGACCCCTAGTTCCTGGATTCTCCACAAGTGCATACCCCAGTGCTGGACACATCCCCTGTTCTCCTCTATCCCCCCCAGAGGTCCTCAACCCAGCCACTGGAGTCTGGGTGAGTGGTGACTCACTGCAGCCAGAATATTCCCTTTTTACAGGGGAGGTCACTGGTTAGCTCAACCCAGCCCCCCACCAATGCAGTGATCCTGCTCCCAAGTAAACAAGGGCCTAACCTCACCTCAGCTTATTCTTCCCCTTGAGAAGGGAATCAGGGGAGGGAATTTTGATGTCTTGTTATAAGCTTCGTCCCTTGAGAGTGATCCTTGCCAACCGCATCAGTGTTTGCTTCTGTTGATTCAGCCTGCAAGCTAAAAATGCTGTAAGGATTTGTAGACGAGACACACACTGACATCCCCCTGTCCTTCCCACCCTGCACTATGCATTTTTTATGCATAACCATTCCACTGTGTGTGTATGTTGCTCATCTATGCTTTTCCATTTGTAGGCATAATTCTATGCAACATCTTTGCAGGGGGGAACCTGGCTACTCTCTTACCTGCTGCTCAGGAGCATTTGTGAAAACTTTTTCACAGTACGTGGCAATGTTTCCACCACTTCCATTTAATAACAGGCTGGATTTGTGGGGAGTAGATGATTCAGATGCTAGCAGTGGATTAAAGAAACTCTGGCTGCTTCAAATCCTGTTTAATAGGGACCGAAAGTTATTACCCTGGCTTTGGGATCTGTGTAGAATAAACACATGTGTCCCAGACCAATTCCTAGCAAACCACTTAGCATATCTGGGAAGCCTATTGGAAGGTTTAGCAGCAGATAGGCCATGGAGGGAATGGACGTGGAGAACATGCCACCTGTCACTCCAAGTCAGGGTTGAGGCATATTGGTGGAGTCACGTGGGGAAGTTTACACTACTACTTTCCATGCCACACTTCATCCCTGGAGAGACAGGATCGACTAGGGTTGTTAATCCAACATAATACTACATTTATGCACAACATTGGTCCCAAATCCTATGGGTCATTTTTGACTATGCTACATGTCCAAGCAGCCTGTAGAGAAATTGCTTAAAACACGGAACAATTATTGCAGAATGGCTATGCACAGCTGTAAACGAACTGTCATTTGAGATAAGCCTTATCTGGGCATGACTTATGGTGTGGGAACTTGACCTTATTCTTGAAGCGATGTGGTTTTAACAAAATAAAATTGACTTTGAAAAAAGAAGGACTTCATATAACATCTCTGTGAATCATTTTGACTAAGGCTGCTGACACAGCTCAAAGCACAATACCAAAGTGGGAGAAATAACAGTGGTATAATTTCAATTTGTTACTGCACTTTTCAGGTATTAATGGCATTAGCAATATTCTGTGCTTCTGTCGCAACTTTCATCTGAAAATCTGCACACACTTTATACAGATTAGTTAATTAAGCCTGATGACATGCTTGTGAAATAGGTGAAGGATGATTATATAGATGCATATGCTCCATACCATATGTTAGCTAGAGAGGGGGAGGGAGAGAGACATTATTTTAGTCATCGTGAAATGCAGCTATCTCTGAGATGAATCATGGCATCTATTTTTTTAGCAGTGTCACATTCCACAATAGTTTAGGACTGGATGAAAAATACAGTAAAGAGCTGACACTGCAGAGGGAATGTAGCAAGGCAGGAGTCAATTACTTGAGTTGGCTATTGACCAGAACAGTGTAGTTAGCACCTCCACTCTTGCAAAATCAACCACTGCCCCCCCCAAACAACCATCAAAAACAAAACAAAAATATTATCTGTAGTGACCATGGAGGTCAGCACTTCAGTTCTGTGTCTCAACCAAAGTGCAAAGTAACACCTAAACACATGGGGGGGAGCACTGACTCTAGTTTTGACACAAATGGAAGAGTGCCACTTCCTAAGACATCTTTTCTGCTTCCTGCAGCGCTGATAGTTTCATGGAAAATGCCCTGGCCAAACCCTGCCTTGCCTTACTTACCTTATGAGGTCTGAGAGCACTCATGGCACAAATGGAAGAAAGTTTTTCATAGGCACAAATGGCATTTAGGCACCTATCACCCACTGGCCTTCTGTGGTGGCGCATTAGGGTCCCTCGCCTCCTGAACCCCCGTAGTTACTCTAAATCAGGGCTACTCAACATACTGCCTGCGGGCCACATGCGGCCCACAACCCATTTGTTTGCAGCCCATGGCTCAGTTTGGGTTTATGCAGTTTGGGCTTAACACGTGGCCGGTAGGTTGGGTCCTTTGAACATGGCCTCCACTGGGAACACGCTCCACAACGGCGAGTCAATATAATGGTCTTCTGTTGATATGCATTTTAGTAGTTACATTCCTGGAGTGTCATTTCTCATTAAAAGTACTGTCACATGGGTGGAAATTGGGTAAATATTGCATTTTATTAATATCAGCAGAACTCACTTAAATGGGGCTTGTGTGTTGTGTAGTCTTGCCTTAATCTTTGTATTCATGCCTGTCAGTGTGAGAGAAGCTATTTGTATATTTTTGCTTGCATATACAACCACACTTAAGTTGAGGCCCTCAGCA